AGGAAACTAAGAAATCACCCCCACCCCCCAGGAGGGATGGCCACACTGCAACCCCTTCTCCATTCTCCTCTCAAGATTTTGGGAATCCACACATGCACCTGGCATGTTTTTTTTTTTTTTTTTTTGCTATAGGGGCGTGCACTCGCCAGACAGAGAGAGACATAGAGACAGAAAGCGAGAAATCACCCCCCGGGGGGATGGTCACGCCACAATCCTTTCTCCTCCATTCTCCTCTTGGGATCTTGGGCACGCACGCACACACACCTGGCATGAGTTTTAAGCCACCGGGTCCGGGTCGCGAACCACGGTGGACTAGGTGGGAGTTCAGCGACATAGCCATTACGCTAACTGCTGGTTCCCCACCTGGCATGTTTTTGAAGCTGCTGGGTCTGGGACTCAAATTGCATAGTTGGTCATGGGGGTCTGGCCACCTTAAATTCCACACCACCTACTGGCCCAAATATCTATTCTTTATAAGGTATCCACCAAGATATTCAGTTGTCAGTTGAAGAAAAGTGACTAAAACCTTATTTCATCTTACCCCAACTACTTCCTCCTCTCTAACTGAATTATTTTGAAGCACATGGCAGGTATCATAACCTTTATGGGAAAGTGATGTTTCTTGAAGTTAGATTTTTAAGGCTCCATGGAGCTCACTGTACTGAGAGGATAAGAAGCCTCCAAGTGGAGGGACCTGGCAAGTGGAATACTGGCAAGAGGGCAGGAAAGAGCAAGTTCAGACCAGTTCGCCTAGAAGGAAAATTGTAATTAGTGGGAAATAGGTTGAAAGGCGAGTTAAATGAGAATTAGGGCATGAACCACACTCGTCTTCTTGGTTCTTGTACATCTTGAATCGCCATAGTATCTGACCGAGAGGTTCAAAAGGTGAGGAAAGAATTCAGTGTAGAAGGGCAGACTGCAGGAGTTAGAATGCTAGCAACCGTGCTGCACTGTAATCTGGGGCCACTGCATAATTAATTTAACTAAGTGAGGGGGGTGGATTGTGGCAGAATTAAATGATAATTGTGGAAGACACAAACACACAGAAACAAATATTGTGTGTTGTAACTATGTCAGCTTCTGTACGGGGATTAGTCCTGTGGGCCTCAGCGACAGCTACCTGATCTGCAGCTCCTTCTTAGCTGAGCCTGGGGAACAACTGAACTTTTTTTTACTTTTTAACTTTAAAATAATGATAATAGGGGCTAGTTGGTAGCATAGTGATTAAGGCACTGGATCCCATATCGTTGGCTATGCAGTTTGAGTCTGGAATCCAGCAACTTGAAAAATCACACCAGGCACATGTGCATGTGTGCCCCAAATCCTGAGAGGAGACTAAAGGAGAAGGGATTGCAGCAGGACCATCCCCTGTAGAGGATGATTTCTCCCTTTCTCTCTCTCTCTCTCTGGCAAGTGTATGTGCCCTATAGCAAAAACTAAAAATAAATAAATAAAATAATAATTATTGAATTTTTAAAAAAGTAATTATTTTATTTAATGTTAGCTATTTTAATTTGACCAGAGAGAGAGAGAGAAGAGAAAGTGGAAAAGCAAGCCATCAGGTTTAGGACTTGAACCATGGTCAACCATGTGGGAGTCCAGTGCCCCTAACCACTATGCAACCTGCTGGCCCCAAATTCTTGATGTTTTTAAAATCCTATTTTATAGCATCAATCTTAGGATAAGATAAAACATGAAAAATATTTAAAGTGCTACACACAGGAATACCAAGCAGGAATATTTTCACAGAATAATTTAAAATGTAAGCTATGATTGCTTTTGTGTGTGTGTGAGAGACTTTTTTGTTACAGGGTGATATGCTCCCTGGAGAGACAGAAAGATTGAAAATGAGAAATCATGCCTTAGGGAGGATGGCTATGCCACAATCCCTTTTTCTTTCACTCTCCTCTTGGGATTTTGGTCACATATGTACACACTCCCAGCATGAGTTTCAAGCTGCAGGGTCTGGGACTCAAATTGTGGTCGGTCGTATGAGAGTCTGGTGCCTGAACCACTATGCCACCTGTTGGCCCCAATATGACTGCTTTTTATCATTTGATTTCTCGTTACCTTGAAGGAACCAGATCACACACATTTCCTAGCCAGAAGCCCTACAGTCTTTCCCCAGAGAGGAAGCTTCCTGGCTGTTTTTGGTGCATCCTTGGTGTATTCTGAGCTCACAGGGCTGAGTCAGGTTTCCTTTTACTTGGCTAGCTTCGTGGTAAATGGAGGTTGCATAAGAGAGCAGGGTGCAAAGTACATGTATCCTGCTTGCTTCAGTTTGCATCCACTTGGTCTCTTTCATGGATCAGATGACACATGGGAAGAAGAGAAAGTGTATGAGGGGAAGCCGAGCGGAGGTGAGAGGATATAGGAAGAGTAGCCAACAAGTTAGGATTTAGACTGCCAAGGACTGTGAGCCCAGGTAGAAAGTGGGTTCCTCGAGTGGTCATGAATACAATGGGCCAACAGGGGCTGCTTGGTTCCAAGGTCTATGCCAGCCAGGATGACAAAGATCTGGTCCTAGCTTTTACTCTGGAGCTGTTGCAGGAGTTCCTAGCACATTAGAATAGTGTTTGCAGGGACCAGCAGTTAGCGTAATGGCTATGTCACTGGACTCCCATGTAGTCGACCACGGTTCACTTCCTGGATGCGGTGGCTTAAAACTCATGCCGGGCACATGTGCATGCATGCCCAAGATCCCGAGAGGAGAACGGAGGAGAAGGGATTGCGGCGTGGTCATACCCCTGGGGGGTGATTTCTCACTTTCTGTCTCTCTGTCTCTCTCTGTCTGTCTGGCAAGCGCACGCGCCCTATAGCAAAAACCTCTCCAAAAAATAAAAAGAATAGTGTTTGCAAATATCAGAATGCTCATGTGTTCCCTGGAGGGCAGGTTAAAACACAGATTACTAGTGAGACCCTTTGAAAGAATGGAGTTGGTGGATGCACTTGTAGTCTGGCTACCTGGGAAGCTGAGTCAGGAGGATCATAGCTACATCCCATCTAAAAATAGAACAGAATAGAACAACAAAAACCAATGCACAAAGACTGCTGGATCTGAGTTTCTGGTTCTGTAGGCCTAGGTGAGACTTAGTAATTTGCATTTTAACAAGTTTCAAAGTGAGGTTGATAGATTTGAAACTACTGGTGCTTGTACCACACGCTGAGGACCATTGCCTGACATGATGACTGCGTTAGCAAACCATCAGTCTCAGAGACCAGACTCGGAAACCAAGCAGCTTACTAGCTGTCATGGAGTATGCTTCAAGGTCAATTCTACACTCTCCGTAGCTTTTCCCTTCCCCAAATCCTACCAGCCGGTAAAAGTCAATTCTAAACATGTTATTTCCCCTTCATCTTGCCCTGTGTTACAAATCTGCCGGTTAGTATATGTACACATGGAGGGTAATAGTGAACAAGTATCTTTCCAGGTGTAATCATATTATAAATCAAGAATGTTACTACATAGACTGCATGATAATTTCAAAGAGTTCATACTTATGAAATGAAAGATTAAGCTGTTTTTTTTTAAAAAAAGTTTATTTATTTACTTTGTTAAAAGAAGTTTTTACCTTAGGGTGTGTGTGCTCACAGGAGCGAGAGAGAAATAGACAGTGAGAGTGAAAGTGAGAAGTCACTCCTGAGGAGGGATGGCTATGTGGCAATCTCTTCTCCTCTATTCTCCTGGGATCTTGGGCATCTACGTACACACACCCAGCCTGAATTTCAAGCCACTGGTTCTGGGATTTGAATAGCGGTTGGCCATGTGGGAGCCCAGCGATGTAACCACTACACAATCTTCTGGCCCTGGGAGTAAACTTTCACATGGCTGAGGAAATGTGTGTAAAGGCAAGGAGGTAAGAAAGCAATTACTGGGGCCAGCAGGTGGCATGGTGGTTGAGGTGCTGGATTTCTATGTGGCTGATGGTTGGAGTCCCAGACCTGGCGGTTTGAAACTCACACCAGGCCCATGTGTGTGTGTCCAGATTCCCAAGAAGAGAATGGAGGAGAAAGGACTGTGGTGTAGCTATTCCCCCTGGAGGGTGATTTCTCACTTTCCCTCTCTCTGGCTGTTTCTCTCCCATGAGTGAGCGTACCCTATGGTAAAAATAAAAACAAAAAAAATAGAAGAAAGCAAGTGACTTACTCAGCATGTCTGCCTAGCAGGGCATGGCCGAGGAGTGCAGCCAATAGGAAGGGAGCGATAAGCAAAGACATCAAATAAAGCAACCAGCTGGCCAGATACACTAGCTTTCATCCTGAATAATGTCATGGAATAGACTGCTTAAATCTGAGGCATGAACATTTCAGGAAGTGGGGCGTAAAGAATGTGGAGCTTTTTGTGTATTAATTTTAACACAAAGGCAATTACCTTTGCTCATAAAGAAACTAAGGAAAAAACATTCTTTCCACCATGGGCTGACAGCAAGTCCTTGCTGGAGGCTCCTGGTGTGAGTTGAGGAGACCATGGTCAAGACTCCCGACTGTCTGCTGCAAGGGCTGTAGGGTGTCTGGAGGCAGCCGACCTGGACCCTGTTCATCGTGGGCTTATTTATATTTTGGTTTGTTTTTGAGAGATTTTTTGCTATAGGGCATGTGCACTTGCCAGAAAGACAGAGAGACAGAGAGATAGAAAGCGAGAAATCACCCCCGCTTCTCCTCCATTCTCCTCTCGGGATCTTGGAGTCCAGGACTCGAACGGTGGTCGACTACATGTAAGTCCAGCGACATTATGCCATTTACGCCAACTGCTGGTCCCTCAAGTTCACATTTTTCATCTCTGTCATGATCTACTGGTATACCATGGGGGAGCCCAAGGACCAAGGTAAACTCTACACCCTGCACGTGGGCATCCTTTCCCCTAGCGAGGCGCCCCAACCCCGCCCTCCAGCACCCTCCCTCCCTGCAACATCTTCCTGGAGACCTGACACGACCCACCCCAACTTCCTGTTCACGTGCTGGGTGGAGTCTTCTGCCAGAGTCGCAGGTGGTGATCATGATGAAGGGGCTGCCTGGCTGCCTCCGTGCCCCAGCAGCTGGGCCTCTAGCTTCTGGGCTGCTTTGCAAAAGACCTGGAGTTGCTGGGAGCCAGCGCGCCCCTGACCGCCTGGAACGCAGAGGCATGATCGCTCCTGGAGTCCTCCCAGCTGCCGGTGCTGCCCACGCCTCCCAGCTCGTCCTCCTGTGGAAGTTCAGGGGCTCCTCCCTAGACACCGACTTCATCGCTCTCAAGAGCCTGAGGAACCTGAGCAACGCACTGGGCACCCAGTCCCGCTACTTTTTCCACGAGGCCTTCCTGGCGTTCAGGCGCAGGCACGGTTTTGAAGCGCTATGCACATGCGACCTCGTGGCTGGATTTGGAGCCACCAGGGACCGCAGCTGCTCATGCGGGTCTTCAAGAAGTGGTGCTCCATCCACGACCTGGACAAGAGCCAGGCATGTCACAGAGACACTATTCTGCCCCACCAGACCTTCTACCCCAGAAGGGCTTCCAGGACCTCAGCCCTGAGGATTTGCCCTGGCTGCTCAGTGCCACCTACGCGGTCCAAGGGTAGAACAGGAAGATCCAGGGCAAGTGGCACCACGCAGTCACTGCTGGCGCAGCTCCAGGTCCTCTACAGCCCCAGGACACACGAGGCCATGAAGATGAATCTGTGAGTGTTTGCCGGGCTGCAGGCCATACCTACGACCTTCCTAGGGAGGCAAACTGGGGATGCCAGAAGGGAGAGACCTGAGCCGCTGCACCAGTGGGACGGACTGTGGTGGGGTCTTGTGCGAGCATGGGCTGCAGGCCCAAGGCTCTGTTCTCTCCCAGCCAGCATGAGGCTGGTGGGTAGCCACAGGCCAGTGCCCTCACCGGGGGCTGACAGCGGGGCCAGAATCAGCCAGGCATCCTGTCCCTCAGATTGCAGGCAATAGGATCGAACCCCAAAGCACCTTCTGAGTCAGGCCAAGAGGGGAGTCACAGCAGCCATCAAAGGGGATAAAAAAGGATGGAAGGGTTCCCAAACAGGAGAGGAGGCAGGAGGGAGGCGAGAGAGCAGGGTGCACACCCTGCCTGCAGGCCCAGGGTGTGAGCGCTTTTTGCTGATTTTAGATCCTTTCTTCAGGAACTGAGTAGAGGTAGAGGCTGCCAGTGTATGAGGTGATCAAAAGAAACTCATTGTTTTGTTGGGTGGTGGTAGGCTATCTTATTTCAGTCACACTGCTTGTTATAAATGTTTTGAGTATAATTTTAAAAAGGTAAGGCTCTCATCAGAGATCTTTGCTCCCATTGGTCCAAACAATATACATCTTTTTCAAGTTTGTAGACCTTTCGTCCTCTGAGCAAAGGAACTGTACCTGAGCTGGGGCCAATTCGTTGGATTATCAATGTCAAAAGTTCCTGTGTTTTTCACATTTGTGTATGTTTTTTGGAAAGATTTTTTTGCTATAGGGCATATGTGCTTGCTGGAGAGACAAGAGACAAAACGTGAGAAATCACCCCCTGGTGGGGATGGCACTCCACAATCCCTTCTCCTCCATTCTCCTCTCGGGATTTTGGGCATCCACGCACACGTGCCCGGCGTGTATTTCAAGCCGTGGGGTCTAGGACTTAAAAACTATGGCTGGCCACATAGGAATCCAGCGCCTTAACTGCTTTGCCATCTGCTGGCCCCCACATTTGTGTTTTTAGTCCTGAAGAGCTCAAGAAAGAATGATGTTCTCATTGAGTTTTCCTTTTCTTTTACTTTTTTGGTATATTAAGTCAATTTTAACCAAAGCACAGTTCTCTTATATGTAGCTGTCAGATTTATTTTTCCTTAGTTTTTTCTTATAACATTCAGAGGGATTTATGTTAGTACAAAAGAGAAGAGGAGAGGCAAGGAGATGGAATCTTGGAGAGGGGAGAAGATTCTGGTAATTGGTGAAGGCTTAAAGTGAAACCAGAATATTTCATTCATTGGCTGAGTTAACATTGGTGAGTCATTTATTAAGCCCTACAGGTGCTAGGCTTGGTGAGGAGACAGACATAAATGGAGAATTTTAAAATCCAGAATACTAAGAAGTTGTAATAGGGCCAGCAGATGGCATAGAGGTTAAGGCCACTGGATCCCACATGACTGATTGCATGGTTTGAGTCCTGGATCCAGGGGCTTGAAAAACATGCAAGGTGGGACCAGCAGATGATGTAATGGCTGTCACTGGACTTCTACCTAGTCAGCTGTGGTTCGAGTCCTGGGTGGAGTGGTTTAAACTCACACCAGGTGCGTGTGCATGCATGTCCAAGATCCAGAGAGGAGAATGGAGGAGAAGGGATTGTGACTTGACCATCCCCCCTGGGGGGTTATTTCTTGCTTTCTGTCTCTCTCTGTCTTTTGGTTGATTGCATGCACCCTATGGCAAAAACTTCTCAAAAAGAAAAAAACAAAACAAAACATGCAAGGTGAGTGCGCATGTGCCTAAGATCCTGAGAGGATAAATGGGGAAAAAGGCACTGTGGAATGGCCATTCCCCCTGGGAGGGGGGTTCTGTCTCACTTTCCCTTTCTCTCTCTGTCTCCCCCAGGGGGGTGTTACTTGGGTTACTTTCTCACTCCCCCCTCCTCTCCCTCTCCCCCCCCCCAGTGAGTGCATATGCCCTATAGCAAAAAAATTTTTAAAAAGTTGTAATAAAGTAATAGAGATTTAACAGAAGTCACTTCAGCAACTGGCAGAAAGTACAGAGAAGCAGCCTCTGACTATTCTTTTGGGAGAAGGTATAGAGAGAATAGGGAGGTAAGAAGGCATCCAAGAGAATGTGCTGCTACTTGATTTAGATCTTTAAAAATTATTACTGAAAAATGTTGTTAGGCCCAGCAGGTGGCATAGTGGTTAGGGCACTGGATTCTCACAAGGCCAACCGCAATTCGAATTCTGGACCTAGTGGTTTGCTTTCTTACTTTCCCTCTCTTTCTTGCTTGCTCTCTGGTGAGTGCACATTGCCTATAGCAGACTGAAAATAATAATAATAAATAAAATAATAATAAAAAACTATTGTTATGAGACTTTTCAACATTGATAACTACAAAAAAAAATGGCACCCATAAAACTATCATCCAGATTTAATAGATGGTAATACCTTAAGTTAAGCCTTAAAGCAGAAGGCCAACAGGTAGTGTATTAGTTGTGGTACTAGACTCCCCCATGGCCAACAGTGGTTGAAGTCCTGGATGTGTGTGTGTGTGTGTGTGTGTGCATGCCCAAAATCCCAGAGGAGAGTGGAGGAGAAGGGATTGCTGTGTGGCCATCCCCTCTGTGGGGCAATTTCTCACTTTCTCTCTCACTGTGTCTAACTGGAGCACTTATGCACCTTATGGCAAAAAAAAGAAAGTTGAGCAGAAGTCACCCACCAAAGGGTGTATGCTTATAGTGTGTGTGTGTGTGTGTGTGTGTGTGTGTGTGTGTGCATGGACCTACACTTGTCTATGTTTCCTAGTTTAGTATCCATGAAGCAAACAGACCTCATGGTTCATATATAATTCATAGGTCTTACTTACAGTTCCCAAACCAGGAGGAAAGGGAGAGCCACAATGAATCAGACCTCTTTCCAGCCTGTCTTAGAGAAAATACATTGCACACCAGTTGCCAAAAAAGGGCAACATGGTGTAGTGAGAACCTACAGCTTCCAGGCCAGAGACCTGTCACCTCACACTGGTGTAATGGTGAGCAAGTCACAGGCCTGCGAGACTCAGTAAGGTCCGATATTAGGTGCAATATTCTGAAACCCAGATTAATGTACCTTGGGCATCTTCATCTTCAGACATAGGGGACCAGAAAACGTTAGTTCCATGTGGTGTGCTTCCTTGACTGGGACAGAGGCGACTCTGAGCCGTTGAGAGCAGTTAGATGCTATAAATGTTTTGGAATGACACTGGATGTGTAGGCTTTAAAGCTTAGTAAACTTTTTGGATTTATAACTGCCGCTGGCAATCATTCCAGTCCTCAGCATTGTTTTGAGATCTGTAAATCAGGGACCCGAGGCGCAAGAAAGCAGGTAGGAATAAATGCTGTAAGAACTTATAATTTTATTAAAAACACTTATATTTTTTCCTTTATTCTTCAGAATTAACATTAATAAGTAGGTCATAGTTTCTGTGTAGTAAAAGCCCATCCAAGGGGGCCAGTGGCAGTGTAGTGGTTAAGGGGCTGGAGTCCCATGTGGCCAACTGTGGTTCAAGTCCCAAACTTGACAGCTTGAAAATCATGTTGGGCACGTGTGCGTGCATGCCCAAAAATCCCAGGAGGAGAATGGACAAGAAGAGATTGTGGCCATCCCCCTGGAAGGAGGATTTCTCACATTCCTTCTCTCTCTGGCAAGTATGTACACCCTATGGCAAAAGCCAAAAAGAAAAAAAGAAAAAGCCCATGAGAGACTTTTTTTTTCCTAGTAAAAGAAGTAACAATGGTGAACATTTATAAGCATTTAATAACTTACAAAAGATTTCATATACATTTTAGAAAGTGAGCTTTTCATAGCTGTGAGAAAGAATAATGCTCTTTAGAGACTAGAAAATTGGGTCTCACAGGCCTGTGACTTGCCCACCATCACACCAGTGCAGGGTGGCAGGTCTCTGGCCTGGAGGCCACTGTGTTCTCACTATACCATGTTGCCCTTTTATAGCAGCTGGCGTGTGGTGTATTTTCTCCAAGACAGGCTGCAAAGAGGCTTGATTCACTGTGGCTCTGCCTTCCCTCCTGGTTTGGTACTGTAAGTAAGACCTATGAATTGTGTGTGAACCATGAAGTCTGTTTGCCTCCGAGCAGGTTCGTTCACACACTGCTGCTGCTTACAAGCTGGACACGAACAATTGAGCTGCTGAGCAATTTTCCCTCATTCCCATGGTGGTGTTTCTTCAGCCTATTCCCCTCATTGCTGGTCCTCTTCAGTTTATGGCCCTGAAGTTGTCTGGGCTCTAGTCTATCTTTCCAACTTTTCCTCCAAATTCCTTACTCCAGCAGTTAGCCTAGGACAGACTGATCCTTTTCTTCAGCACCCTGCCAGAGAAGGCTGCCCTAGCACAGCGGAAAGTGTGGTTTCCTGGGCTGCCTCTTGGCAAAGGGCTTTTGCCGGTCTAGCTTTGGGCCAGCCCCAGGGCCTATCAGTTCCAGAAGAGGTGTTAAGGGCTGTGACAAATGCCCAAGCTGGCACATGGAGCTAGCACTGGCAAGCTTGAGGGTGCACAGCAGCAGATGCCCTGAGAAGGGATGTCAGACCTTCCCTGTGCTCTGAAATGACATGAGCACTGCAATGACCCCCTGGTAGGTGAGACTTTCCCAAGCACCAGCATTGTTTGCTGCCAGTCCACCGGCATTATCACCCACTGTGCCACAGAGCAATCTAAAGAGGGATCCAAAAGAAGGAGCCAGAAACTTTCCTTGAGGAACATCCGGTAGAGGAACCTGGGCACAGGACTTAAGAGTTAACACTAATTTCAACATGCTCCTGGACGCTACGGTAAACTCTGACTTAATCTGGCCTGAACAAATGGAAAATTTATTATTTTTATAGCCAGCAGTAGGTGTGCTCCAGACCCTGTCTAATAAGTGGCTCAGTGATGTCATTAAGGACCCAGGTTTGGGACCAGCAGGTGGTGTAATGGCTACATCACTAGACTCCCATGTAGTCAACCATG